TCTCTCCCTGTGTGCACACCTTGGTGGTGTGGGAGTATCACAGAGAGATTTCAGGGACATGGGGCGGGGATTTGGATGAAGTGTGGATTCGTGACCAGGACCTTGCAGCTGATCTTGTTGGCCCCTTAACTCTTGTGGCCACGGCAAGAACAGGCTGGGATGGCCCTGGCAGGACTTTCTCCTAGGATTCCCACAGATCCAGGCTCTGATCGTGGCTCTGTTCCCCTCTCTTCCAGCACTTCAAGCTCTGAGAAGAGATGATGACCCTTCTCAGAGAAACAAAGTTCTCCAACAGATATTAACTGAACAAGCTGCAGAGTTACGCTCGTCTGCTGGCTTAGGAATCCAGTCTTCGTGGAAGACGCTATGGAAGATGAGACTATGCTAAGACCAGAAGAGACCAGCTGGAGCTCCAGGCACAGCTGACAACTGGCACAGCTGAGCCTGTGGGAAGCTCACGCGGCTTCAGCCCTCTCCCTGCCTGTAGATAGCTTTGTCCCTGCAGCCCTCAGAAACTGCCCATCCCTTCTTTTTCCCTTCAATCTCCCTCCCTTTTGACAGCTCCCTCCCTACGCCACTGAAACACTCCCCATCCATTCTTTTTCCCTTCAATCTCCCTCCCTTTTGACAGCTCCCTCCCTGTGGCCCTTAGATACTGCCCATCCCTTCTTTATCCCTCCACTTTCCCTCCCTTTTCACAGCTCCATCCCCCAGCCCTCAGACCATCCCCTTTTTTGCTCCTCAGCTCATCCCTTTGCTTCGCATCCTATCAATAAACAGTTTGGCTTTTTCACTAAACCTGCATCTGTGTGGAGTTGAAGGGTCACAAATCCAGAGCGCTGTGACACACAGGCCCCTCCTGCCGTTCTCTCCTGCACTGTGTTTTGTGCAGAGACGCAGAGGAAGGAGCGCAGATCAGGCTGGAAAGGTCCCTGTGCTGAAGGCCCAGTTCCACAGCATTGTGGAGTTAAAGGTCTTGCTGAGCACCTTGAAGGCCTTGGATTTTGGAAGAGCCAAGCTGAGTATGCCCAGAACCCGGCTGTGAGGGATTCTATGGCAAGCATGCACAGAGAGCAAAGGAGCTTGGAATATCTGAGGCTTTCTAGAACAGCTTCCTGAAAGCACAACAATGCTCCATCCCTGCACAGGATCAGGAGGAGGGCAGAACTGTTAGAGCCAGCAGAGAGATGGGGACTTCAGATGGCTCTTCTTTAGAATGCTGTTTATTCTGTCGACTAGATTACAGCAGGGGGTCGTGGGTCAGCCTACAGCTGCTGGCTACAGGCAAGCCCTGTGTCCTGAAGCCCACTTAGTTCTGGTGACAGTGCATTATATCTCTTTCTTTTCCTGTGTGTATCATTGCATAACAACCAATCAGCATCATACACAATACCTTTACATGTACATATATCCTATCAAAACTGCTAAAATTACCATACTATGTTAGTGACTAACGAATCATTTGAGTTAGTAATTACATGGCAAACTCTGAAAGTTGTTTTGCAGTGGAAAATTCTTTTTGCTTTGGTAAAAAACGTCATTCTGTCTGCCTATGCTTTTTCACTTGGTAGAAAACATGCTTTGTTTGAAGGCCACTTAAAGCTGTTGGACTTCAGCCATAAAACCTCCTTCTAACTGACTAAACCTCTGTTCTAAACCTTCCAGCTCGACTAAACCTTTGTTCTCTCGGTGGTTTCAGCAATAAGTGGCCCTACAAATGTCTTTTTATATATCCATAAGCTTGATTTCATTTCTATATCTAGAGAACCTTCTGGTAAGCATTCATATCTGTGAAAGTTTTCTGTTAAATTCTCATCCTTCCTAACATTTCCCCTGGCCTGATGAACAACACAGATGCTAGAAATTGTCTGATTCATCATTTGTGCACACATTGAAGTATACATGTGTCACAATCTGCTCACACAGGCGGGCGTCGTGAGAGGTTCGTTTGATCTCAGAATGCAAAAAGGACACCAAGGGATTTCAGTTTAAATCAAAACAGCAATAATGCATCTTTATTTTAGTGCCAGCATCATGGGTTATGCAATAGATGAGAAGGAGAGAAAGAGAGAGAGAGAGAGGAATAAAGAGGCAAAGTAAAGAGAGAATACGGGGGGGAGGTATCGCTACCAATGGACAAGATGGGGTCGCCAGTGTCTTCTTCCGTGGGGAACTCTCTCTCCAAAAGCAACTTAGAAAAGTCACCTTTAGAGTCTCAAGTTCCAAGGTGAGGGCAGTTGGCCAAAAGGTGGGGAGATGTATAGGCTATTGTGGTGTGACCCGTTGCTGTGGGAAGCAGGTGTGAGGTACTGAACAGGCCCCGCTCCTCACAAGTCCCTGCTCAGCAGCAGGAACAAAGGCAGTGTACCGTGGCAGCACAGCAAACACCTGCAAACAATCACTCTTGTGCTGTAGGTCGAGCACCCCTTCAAACAATGGCTTAGCAAGCATCCACCTCAACCAGGCCAGAACCCCTGCACAAAGTCCCCTGGGCTCCTCAGGGTCTTGGTCTCTGTTCTTGCCATGCTCGTGAGGCAAATGAGGGAAACTTCAGACCGTCTCTTACACCACCCCGTGACTCACGATCAGCGTCAAGAGGGCTCCTTTGTAGTGTTGTTACAAAGTCTTCATGTCTCCTCAAAGGCTGGTAGAGTACCCTGGAAAACAGAGACAGAAAATCAGACAGAAAAAGAAAAGTAGGAAAAAGATAAGGGCAAGAAAAAGGGAAAGACAAAAGTAAAGAATCAATTTTCAATTAAAATAAACATTCAACTTCTTATTACAAAGAACAAGTAATTTCAATTAATCAAATAAAACCCAAATAAACAATTTCAGGCAATTTCTTTATCACGAGGGACAATTTCCTATTCTTACTTTTCCAAAATTTCAATTAAATCCTGCTGAAGCAACAGTTGCTTTACCTGAGTGAGGTTCATCCCAATAGAGGTAGGCAATAAATGGTGCATCAGTGTGTAAATGGACTGTAAAAGGTGGTAAGAAATAACTGGGACTATATAAGAAAAATCACCTCCTGCAATCTTAGTAAAATTACAAACGCAAAAATTTGAATGATTTTTTTGTATACACTACTAAGATTTCTAGAAGTACACTATCACAAGCAGTTCTCAAACACGCACATCCACATCCTATATGCACAAGTAGTTTCAGAAGTCTCGGTACGATGGATTTCAGAGTTGCAGATATTTTGTTCCATGTCCAAACAAATATCTTGAGCTCTGGTTGCATTACTTTCACAGATAAACGTTTGTTGTTCCCGGAAAATGCAGTTTCCAAATTAACAGTGAATTAATTATTAATGAAGTTTCCAAACCAACAGTTTGCCACTTCTCACCAATTTGATGAGCCCATTCCTTGTGCTCCAAAGGATAGAGAGCAGCTCCATCATGATTCAGCCCTAATGCAATGACAGGGAATATTGAAAGCGCTGAAGCATTCCGTATAGTCAGTACAAAGGCTGTGGCTGTGTTTGTGCTGGGGTCACAGGTAAAATTTACTTGGTTAAGAGACCATGCCAGATTAAACAATATTTGTTGTTGGCCAGTTTTTCTGATTATACATGGCCCGATTTCAAAATTTCTCGGGCTCAGTATAACCGAAGGTTGGGTTGTGGTAGGTGTAGGTGTTACAACATTGACATCAAGTTCTCCCCAGTATTTGGTTTTGTTTTTCCCACACACGATTTGATGGGAAAATTGTACACCAGTCAGCTTTAGCCAACAATTCTGATTTTGAATTTCACAAAACAGAACATGGCCATGAGGTCCTGTGCCATAACTGTATACAGGTTCAATGAGGATTCAGCAATTAATTTTCAGGTTATTGTCACATCATCACCTTGCATTCCCATAAAGGGAGGGAAAACATTATGTTTGTCATCCAGCACTGGGGGGTGCTTACACCATGGTATGTGATTACTGCACTCAGTGCCACTGCATTCATTTTGAGTCTATGAATTAGACCTTTCAGACCTGACTGATGTGTCAGGTCATTTTGCCAATTACATGTTACAGAGGTTGATTTGGTTCAAGTGAAATGATACCAACAGTCAATAGATTGGTTTTTACAAAGCTTTGTAATTTCCACCTTGTTGGTACAGGGGTCCAGGGTATAGTAACTAATATTTTTCTGATGACAACACAGTATGAGGGGGGATTGTTTGTTCCATGACCACTCTGCTGTGGCGCAGAGTTTTGCCATGATGTTGGGGTGCAAATTGCTTGTCACATCTGATTCTAGAAAATTTCCAACGATTGCAATGGTGGAAGCTTTCTCATAAGGAGACTTTTCCACTTTTCTGCATCCTACCTTAATTTCTTCACCAATTGTTCCAGTTATCACTCTGGGCCAATCTTTTCGGTCCCAACCCCAGTCATTTTGACGGTATGTACCTCAAGAGTCGTGTAGTACTACGGTCACTAGGTTTGGGTGACGGCTTCTGGGGTAGGATCCTAGAACACATCAGGTGTACCTGATGGTAGCTTCAGACCACGGCCACTCAGCCGAGTTTTGGCCATGGTGTTGTGGTAAGATGCAGACAAGTATCTTACCATAGTAAGTACTTACTATTTAATACTAGTATTATCATGGTTTATCTGGTCTTCATGGCCCTCGGTGTTCTTCTGTGGAAGGTGAACACAACAGAGTCTGCCCTCAGAAGGCAGAAACTTAAAATGATGGAATTACCCAGCCTGTGTTGAT